AAAGGTAGGACTTGTATAGCTAATCAATCTTGATTCTTTAAGGAGATTTTGTCCATACCTAAGGAGAGATGATTTACTGATATTCTTTCTTGAAATATCACCTCAAAACCGTGTTTGCCAGCTCATACGCGTCTTCAATAGATGATCTCCAACTGTTTTAACTCTGAGATGTTCTGTCGGAATACCTGATCAATCAGAACTTCAGTCTTCAAACTCTGACAGACTCTAAAACAGAAAACCTATCTAATTTGCCATAATAATTTGGCCAATTACATGTTGGGGTTTTAGACTTAAAACACTAACACACCCATAACCATTTTCCGCTCTCTAATATTATTTCACCATCAATGGGAATTGAGCAGTCCTATCCCCCTGTTTCTTAGCATCATAATGTGTCTCATGAACAACGGCTTTCTGGTGTTTTTTTTTACGGTTCGTGGTGAAGCCTTTGAATGGTTTCATTGGATGAAAAGTAATGGGTTGTTGAGTGGGATGATTTTCTTAAGTAGGTCAAGTTTTGTTTTGATTTGGTTTATTTTAAGGACTTAACAGTTACGATTTTCTAAGTTACATTAAGCTCCAACTATAGAAGTGTATCAGGCTGAGTATGAAAAACTTCCCCCGCTAATTCCAAATGAAGGTCAACAACATGAAGTGGGGTACCTAGAGCATCATTGAATATTACAAGACAAAGTGCGAGAATAGTTTAGACGTGGATCTCACACTAGAGAAACATGTAACACTTTCACAAGATCATGCATCAGTAGAGGTCATGTAAGTATTACAAAACAAGGCAAGTCAAGATAGTAGGTCATCTAGAAGCCATGATCACATTCAAAAATCGTTTGAATCATTTTCTTCTACCAATCGACCACTAGACATGATGGCATGAACTTCCGCCACATATATGGTTCTATTTTATCCCTCTTTACACCATGAGGTCAAGGTGCTTTTTGAAGGGGTGGAGAGTGAGTGATACGCATAAAAAGAAAGAAATAATTGGTGGTTTAATTAGTGGAGAGCCTCAAAAGAATGAATCATATGTAATTAGAGGATAATTGACTAAACATTAGTATAAGGAAATTATGTATATTAGAATATATCATTACCTTGTATAGTTAGAATAATTTTAGTAGCCTAATTATTATAGGTCTTAGTAGAGAAAATTTCACTTTTGGTCATATAACTATATATTGAGGTGTTGTTAATTTCATTTCATGAAATTTCAATTTAATATCGTAACTATTCAATTTTTCTCAATTTTAATCACTTTGGTCAAATTGTCGGTGAAAGTAGCCAAAAAAATTTAATGGGTAAATTTAGTCTTTTGGCATTTCTCTTTCCTTTCTTCACCATTTCTTCACTGAACATTCGATTCAGCTTTGTGTTTTCCCCTTCCAGCATTTTATTTCCACCTTTTTGAAATTCAATTAATCTTCTGGATTTAAAAGTTTGGTTTATTTACAATCTGTGTTCCGGATTTATTAGATTGTGGGTTCTCGAATGAAATGCTCTATCTTGGGTTTAAATTGAAATCTCGGAATAATTCGTTGTATAAAGAGACCAGATTTCTAGCAGAAAATAGTAAATCTGATGCGTTGAAAAGATTCGAGATGCAGAAAATAGTTAACACTTTTTTGCTAAAAGTTTGTAACTTTTGACTTTAAAAAAAAAAAAAAAATTACTTTGTCGAATTCTGAATTTGGTTGATTTTGTTGAACAAAAATGTAGAAGAAGAAATGGCAGAACTGAAGAAAAAGCAGGGGGTTTTACCAAGGTCAACCAGCTTCACTCTTTGGATACTGGGGTTAACCTCACTGGCTCACTGTAAAAGTTGTGAGTTCAAAGCAGATAGCAAGGCCGTTTTGCTGAATGTTTGGTGGGAGATGAGACGTATTAAGGTCAATTTATTAGGACTCTATGTATTTGAGTTAGATTATGATTCTTTATCTCAGTCTTCCTGAGTCTCTTTATATATACATGTAATCTGTACGTTTATAATGATATTACTCAATACAATTTATTCAGTTCTCATCTGGTATCAATTAGCTAGTGTTTCTATCTCAAATTTGCTAATTCCTATTGTCCATCCGCCACTGCTTCCATGCTTCGTTCTTCGCTATGATATGGATGATAAGCTTTCAAATTCGCCGTCAGAATGTCAATCCAAAGCAAAGCTCAATTTGGAAATTTCAAATTAGTGAATATGTTTTAATGTTTTAGTGCTACTATGTAGTCCAAAGCAAAAGACCGCCACTAATGATGAGGAGATCCGCCGACATCCTCTTCGTACACGCAGCCCCCATCGTGGATACTGAAATCAAGGGCCACAAATTTTTTCAGCGGTGTTGATTCAGACTCGATCAAGCAAAATGCCGCAGTGTGGTGGACGTAACTTTAATGTTCAGTGTCAAATTTGTAATGATTATGGCCACGTGGGAGCTAATTGTTTTTAGCGCTATGATGATCCGTATCAAATTTGTAATGGTTTTGGTCACACTGGAGCCAATTGTTTTTGGCGCTATGATGATTCGTGTCAAATTTGTAAAGATTTCGCTCACACAGGAGTCAATTGTTTTCAGCGTTATTCAGGGGCTCCGGGTTCTCAGGCTAATTGGTGTTTCAGGATGGTTTGAGAACTAAAACCTCGTCAAATTCTCATACTTGGGTTCCGGACACTGGAGCCACAAATCATGCAACTCCAAACATAGCTGCCCTTAGCTTTCTACCTCGGAGAAGTACACTGGTAATGACACTTTACGTGTCGGTGATGGTATGAGTCTTTCTATTAGTCATGTTGGTCATGCTACTTTTGATACCCCTTCTAGGTTTTTTATGATGTCTGATATATTGCATGTTCCTGGTCTATCTACCTCTTTATTATCTGTTCAACGTTTTGCTACAGATAACAATGTGTTCTTTGAGTTTCATCCTTCTTTTTTTCTTGTGAAAGATATCACCACCAAGGAAATCCTCTTACGGGGCAGTAGTTCGGGTGACCTATACACTTTGCCTGTTTCAAGTTCGTCTCCTTCCGCGTTTCTCTCTGCTTGGGCTTCCGCTTCGGTTTGACATGATCGTTTGGGTCATCCTCATCAGCGTGTCCTTAGTCAAATTCTTCAGTCTTGTCCGGTTAGTGGCTCTAGTTGTACTATTTGTTGTAATTCTAATTTATGTTCAGCGTGTCAATTGGGAAAATCTGCACGTTTCTCTTTAGCACGTGTTGAGTCTAATAGTTCCGATGTTCTTGATTTGATATACACTGATATTTGGGGACCAGCTCCTTTGCTATCCTCCAATGGTCATCGTTTTTTTGTCATCTTTGTTGATGATTATTCTCATTACACCTGGTATTTTCCTATGAAGCATAAATCTGATCGTTATGTCATATTTGATAAGTTTCGTGCTATGGTTGAGCGATCCTTCAATCGTAAGATTAAATCCATACAGTTGATATAGGAGCTGAATATAAAAAGTTACATTCCACCTTGGCTCAACTAGGCATTATTCATAGACAATTTTGTGCATACACTCATGAACAAAATGGTCGTGTTGAAAAAAAAAAAAAAAACACAGACACATTATTGAAACAGGTTTAGCTCTCTTGAGTCATGCTTTTGTTCCCTCTAAATTTTGGGATTATGCATTTGAGACTGCGGTTTATTTAATTAACAGGATGCCATCTACTGTGTTAAATAAATCAAGTCCTCATCTCATGTTACATAAATCTCCTCCATCATACTCTTTTCTTCATGTCTTTGGCTGTCTATGCTATCCTTACCTACGTCCATATAACCGTCACAAAATGTCTTACAGATCTTCTCCTTGTGTCTTTCTTGGCAATCCTGAGTCATTTAGGGGCATAGGTGCATGGACTTATAGACTAACAAGATATATGTATTCAGGCATGTTCGGTTTGATGAAGGAGTTTTTCCTTTCAGTGCTAAAAGTATTTTGCAGGCACCTTTGGTTCAGACAAATCAATTGTGGGTAGAATTTGTGCTTGTTCCAGTCCCGCCCGCTGCTACGGTTCAGCATGCACTGCCCTAACCGGCCTCGGCTCACACTAACCAGCCGGAACTAGCCCAGGCCGAGCACACTGAGCTCGCTGAAACAGTGGCTGTCACCCGACCCGAGGCCGGCTTAGGGGGCGGTCTACACGGCCAACGGTCCGGACGCGTACCATGACTACTCCGAGCCGTTCTGAGGCTCCCCTTTTGGCTCTCTCTACTTAGGTTTGCCTTACTAAACCTACTTGTTATACACATGCAGTAAAACATAGTGAGTGGCGCAAGGCAATGGATGAAGAGTTTAATGCACTTCTTCAAAATGAGACTTGGTGTCTCATTCCATCATAGTCAGATATGAATGTTATTGGATGCAAATGGGTTTTTTGCACCAAAAGAAAAGCTGATAGATCAATTGAACGATACAAATTAAAGCAAGGTTAGTAGCCAAAGGATTTAATAAGTACCTGGACAAGATTTTTTTACACATTCAGCCCATTAGTCAAACCCACAACTGTCAGGTTACTTCTATCTCTAGCTATATCCTCTGGTTGGGTTGTTAAGCAGCTTGATGTGCACAATGCCTTTTTGAATGGAAAATTATCTGAAACTGTTTATATGAAGCAACCACCTGGATATATTGATAAATGGTTTCCTAATCATGTTTGCCTATTAAAACGCTCTCTATATGGATTAAAACAAGCCCCTAGAGCTTGGTTTAATCGCTTGCATGCGTTTTTGATGTCAGTAGGGTTTAAAGCTTCAAAAATATATGTATCTTTATTTTACTACTCGCAAGATTCAGGCGTCATTTATGTTCAAGTATATGTTGATGATATTCTTGTAATGGGCAATGATCATAATCTTGTTAGTACTTTACTAGCAGAATTGTCATCTGAATTCAAGATTAGGGATCTTGGCGAACCTGGCTTCTTTCATGGGATTGAAATTGTTAAGTGTGATGATGGAATTTTGCTTTCTCAATAAAGATACATGACAGATATTTTAAAACGTGATGGCATGACAGACTGTAAATCTTTAGCCACTCCTATATCTATTTCGAAATTCATTGTCTTTAATGCAGACTTATATGATGATGCTACACATTATAGGAGTTTGGCTGGAGCTTTACAGTATCTTACGGTTACTCGTCCAGATCTGTTTTTTGCGGTCAACCAACTCTATCAACACATGCATGCTCTTACAGTCTCTTATTGGGAGAAATTGAAACGTGTACTAAGGTATGTAAAGGGAATTGTTACTTATGATCTGTGTAAGGAATTCAGTGTCTAGAGATTTACATGCTTTTTCTGATACTGATTGGGTTGGATGTCCTGAGGATCGTAAGTCAACTACTGGTTATGCTGTTTTTCTTGGTTCCAATCTTATATCATGGGTATGGAAGAAACAAAGAACTGTTGCTAGATCATCTACTGAGGCTGAATAGAAAGCTCTAGCAGATGTCTGTGCTGAGGTAATTCGGATTCTCTCTCTGCTGCGTGAAATTGGCATGACGGATGTGTCTACTCCCAAGTTGTGGTGTGATAATCTTGGTGCTACATACATGTGTGCAAATCCTATTTTCCATGCTCGAACTAAGCATGTAGAAATTGATTATCACTTTGTTAGAGACAGAGTTGCAAATGGAGATATACAAGTTAATTTTATTTCGACTAAGGATCATCCCAACTGGCAGATATCTTTACAAAAGCTCTACCTAGTCCTAGATTTTCTTTTCTTAGAGACAAGATACAAGTCACTATTGTACCATGTGCTTGAGGGGGAGTATTATGACTCTATGTATTTGAGTTAGATTATGATTCCTTATCTCAGTCTCCCTGAGTCTCTCTCTTTATATAACTTGTAATCTGTACATTTGTAATGATATTACTCAATACAATTCATTCAGTTCTCATCCAATGAAGGGTGTTTGGTTCATAGATTTACACAGTTACAAGATGTTTGGTTCACTGTAATTTAGCTATAGTTGAATTGGAATTCAATGGATGTCTCAATTACGTTGTTTGGTTGGAGGAAATTGCAATTCTCTCCTTTTGTTGAATTGCAATTCAATGGATGTGAGAAAGGAAAAATAGATGAAATGACACTACTACCCTTGGTTATTAATTATTACTACTTCGTATTATTATTACACAAAGGTATTTTAGTCTTTATATCACTTCTTTCCTTCTCAATTCCAATAATTATATTTCTCCTTACCAAGCATCGTAATTTGAATTCATACTTTATTCTCACCTTATTCTTTTCCCACTGAATTACAATTCCTTTCCCCCTTAATTCATTCATTCTAACCAAACGCCCTCTTAGGGCATCCTCAATAGTGTGGATTTTGGTGTGGATTTTGAGGAGTTTTTGTAAGTGTGATTAGGAAAGAGAAAATAGGATGGGAGGGAAAAAAATTAAAATTAAAAGTTGTAAAAGAAAAAAAATAAAGTGATTTACGCGCCCAGAAATGCACGCGCCAGCCTGGGCGCGAGAGTTGCGCCTCACGCATGTGAGGTGCAACTCTCCATTCAAATTGTGGGTCCCACATTCTGATAATTTTTGGGGTGCTTACAGGAGCAAAAAAACAATCTCTCTCCTCTTTATATCTCTTCCAACTCACCCTTCTTTCCTAAAACATTGTGCCAAAATCCCTCCAAAATCCCCTTTTGGGGATGCCCTTAATGTTTAGTTGATAACTTTTTTAAATATGAGATTTGATTACCCTTTCAATAAAAAGATGTGATTACTCCTTCCATTAAAATTTTCATTCCCTAATTAAAAACATGTGTCAAGGTTATCAAAGAGAACTTTCTGGGCGAGATTTGACCGACTACCTAGTCGACTAGGCGACGAGTATTAAATAAATAAATAAAAATAATATATATATATATATATATATATATATATATATATATATATATATATATATATATATATATATATATATATTTGAAAATATCTTGTCTTGTGCAGCCTTTTTGCTGGCTTATTTACTTCAAGCTGTCTTTAGTAGATGAATAATTTTTCCTAGAATAGTGAGAAGTCTAGTATTTATTGTATATTGAAAATATCTTGTCTCAGCTTTTTGCAACCTTATTTACTTCAAGTTGTCTTGAGAAGATGAATAGTTTTTCCTAAAATAGTGAGACGTTAGTATATATTGATAACATGCCAGAGTGAGGTAGTCGGCTTTGCTAGGAACAGGAGGACGACGCCGGAGCTCGAACCGCGCCGCCATCGGAGCCACCGCTGCCCCGCTGCTCCAACGCCACGCGCCGGCGCGTGAGGCAAATTCCAACGAGTTCTCCGACTGGAAATTACACCGGTCAACTCGCCTTAGTGTGTAGGTTCTGCCCATGTATGTTTTCTGGAGTTTTGGGTTGTATTCTATACTTAGGCGAAGCAAGCACATTAGGCGTTCAGTCTCAACAGACCGGACGCCTAGGCAACACCTAGATAACACTGACATGTATCATTCCAACTTATTAGTAATCTGATTTTTTAAGTTTGAATTAGTGTTTTTATATTTTTGTTTTAATTTTTTTTGTTCATATTGGTGCTTTGGATGTCATTATATTATAAATTGCCTTGATTTTGTTTTTATTTTTTTAATTTTTAAAACCTTAATTCCCATTATAGGGTTATACATAACCAAATATCAATATTGATAATCATTCGAATTCCACCCTACTACCAAATATGCAAAATACTTTTCACCAAAACTCATTAACATTACAAGTATTTGATTCATATTTTGATTCCGATTCCCATTCCCATGTGTAAAAAACACACCTTAAATCTATAACTGCAAAAATCAAAATTATCCGCATATTTTGATTCATATTATCCGCATGTTATTTTTGACAAAAATCAAAATAAAAACTCCATTCAATAATAAAGAATCATCCTATATGCTTTTGAATTAATAAATTAATATGAATGAGCATTTACAAGTTGAAACAAAAAGCGGGAGACCAATAACTTGAGATGATACTCCCGACAAAACTATTACTTTAAAATGCCAACAATTTTCAATTAAAAGATTAATTCTTTTACTACAACAAAGCTTTCCCTATCAACAAACATCAATTGACAGATGCATCTATATAACAACAAAAGGAAATGGCCATTGATAGCTTTTCGTTGCTACTTCCATTAAATCCCCTTTGCCTATACCAAATAAAATTCAAGGCAAACAAGCTTCAATGGGAGCAGCAAAAAGAAGCATACAGGCCCCTAAACCCAAAAATCTGTACTGGAGAAGCCAATAGCACTACAAAACTACAACAACTTCCCTTCCGGCTATCTCGAACGGAAACTCTTGGCCTTCTCGGGAGCGACTAGCTCAAGAGCATTCTGCACGCATTTGTGGTACGAGAAGTCCACGGATGTTCCATCTGATCGTTCCACAACAAAGCAGCGCGATTGGTGCTTCTCGTGCTGCCCAACCTGCCAAGACAAGCGGGATGGCAATCGCCACAATGGGAGAAACAATCAGGCGAGCAGAAAGTGAACAGGAATATATATAAGCTAAGGCACCAGAGGTTGAAAGTTCGGTTCAATCTCACGAATATAAGCTAAGCAGAATATACCTTTATTTCTTGGGCTCCTGTCCCAATTTTCTCTTCCCATTTTGGATGAAAGCTTAAGGCTTTCATCACAACGGATTTGTCAGATTCTCTCAATGGTTCATTGATGCGATAGCTGCAGCAAAACAAAGGAATAAATAAAATCGTGAAATCAGAACGGGAGAGAAATAATTAGAATTTATATTAGAATTATTTCCAGTTATGCTCAAACAGGATGGTATTGCACAACTATAGCACAATTATTGCACCGAATGGGATTTGTAATGGAACAACAATCGGAATGACATTAAAATCAACTTATTCGTCTCTCAAAAAAAATAAAACAAGGATTAAAGAAGTGAAATATTGACTTACGCGCTCAAGATATTTTTCAATGCCAGGGAGAGCTTCTTAATGTCATCAAGAGAAAAGGCTTTGGATAGATGTTGGGGAAGGGACTTGATAGGAATTTCGTTGTTTCCTTTTGGGTTGACCATCCCGTATTGCCTCCGAAGAGTAGCATTGCTACTCAACAGACTATAGACATCAGTTGATTTGGATAGTGGCTCATGCCCCTGGGTGGAAGAAAATAGAAAAATCATATCATGAAATATGAGACGATACTTATCAATGAAGATAGTCCCCACAAAAAGAAGACGAAAAGTAAAGCATAAAAATAAAAAATAAAAAAAATATCAAAATCTGTACCTTCCCAGAGTATAAAATATCAAAATGGAAACCGGTACCAATTGGAGGGGTCTTTCCCAATATCAAAGCTTCAGCACTCCCTCGAAGATCATCGACCGTTTCCATCTTTGCTGCTTTAACAAAAGCCTCACCGGGGCTCTGCATTCAAGTAGAAATAGTACGTCTGACACACAAATTTGGAATAAGACGGAAATTTTGAAGTAGAAATAGTTTGAACAACAATAACCTTTAAACATGCTTGTGAAAAAGGTGCATAGAGACCATTCGCCTTTCTTTGATCTGCAAGCCCTTTGGAATTCAAAGCAATGAATTCTCCTGTTGATGACAGATAATCTGCGGTGAGGACTAAGTGTTCGGGAACGATCTTCTTGCCAATTTCAGATATTGTAGAACTTAGACCCTGCACATCAAAGGTGTTTTATAAGTATATCTTGTTCACGTGGTTAAACAATTTAAAGCTCCTAAGCCAGAAAGGTTAGGGCAATTGAAGCATGTGCTCCAGAAAGGTTAGGGCAATTGAAGCATGTGCTCCATCTCAACTAAAAGCCTATATTATATGCTCAACACGTCCCCTCGCCTATATTATATGCTCAACACGCCTCATCACGTGTGCGGGTCAATTACTTTTTGATGGGCTCCAAGCAACACGTGAACCATAGTCTCTTTTTTTATCGGGTGGCATGGAGATTTGAACCCATAACCTTTGGCATGAAATTGTCTCAGATTCCAAATTGAAGAGTGTGCTCCATCTCAACTAAAATCATAGTTGGATTGCACATTTATGTTTATATATTATATGCTCAACAAGGGCAACTCATGTGCAACATAAAGAAATCCAACGATATATAGTCATAACTCACGCTCAGAAATGATATCCACGCAACGTCTATTCCATAAGCCCCAGATATATCATGAATATCATCTGGATGGCTGCGTTCCCAATCAATCATTTCCATTATTTGAAGGCAGCTATCCACGAGTTCACTCCAAAACTTAGCCCTCGCACAGTTCTCGGACATGAAAACCCGCAAATAAAGTTCTCCAGAAGATCTTTTCGACGATTGTGATGCAACGGAACCGTCCTTCCATAAGATATCAACCTTCTTGAATGCAGGAAATCCTAAAAATACACGGGAGGAATATAAAACACATACTCAACAGTAACTACCCAGTAGCATTATCCTATTTAACTATTTAAACCTTTAACGACTGTTCCAAGTAGGAATGGCATCACAACATCACGAAGGATATCACAATCTGGAGCAGGACGTTTTGAAACTCCGACAATCGAAGCTGTAATGCAAAATTTTGTATCTTCTTTCGGCAAGCCAGCAAGATAACAATCCCTGTCAATAACAAGGAACATTAATGCCGGTTTTTTGAAGTGATGCCAGTTTCGAGGCAAAAAGTTCTTTGAAGCAAAGCCTTACTCGCACATAATCTGCAGACTTGGAAGTTGACTATTTGGTTTTACTTTAGCGGCTTTGTAATGCCGGTTAAGAGCATTGGTAATGGATTGCAACTTTAAGCCTCTCTTCTTTGCGATTTCCTGGAAACAAAATATTAGAAATGAAACGTACAGAAACCGAAGAAACAAATCATCACTGCATTACCTTGTTCACATGAAAATGACAAATCCATGGACTACTGCGCTTGTCTCTGCATTTCTCCGGGGAAAACCTAAATTTAAAAAAGAGTTATTACTTAGGTAAAGAAGAGCAAAAAGAAAAACATCATAAACGGTACATAGAAAAACTACCAGATCATTACTGTAGAAACAATGTCTGAAAATAGGACCCTTTCCAAATGACTTTTCACTCCTAACGCTCCATATTCAAATCCATAAGCCCATCTTCGGAGTTTTCGAGACAAGAACAGTGAAGCAGTTTTACCTCCGCTACGTTTTTGCACTCCCGATTCCAGCACTTTCTGCAAAGTCATGTTAAAATACCAAAAAACGTGATCAATGGAATACTAGATGAACATATTGCATGATTGACTAACAAAGTTGTTCTGCTTTTCAAGAGATTGTAATGACCCTAGGCACCCAGATTCATGGAATACAAAACGAATTCAACCCAAAAAGCTCAAGCTAAACAAGTCATCAACGAAAACTTAACAGGTAACAGTAAAAATTTATTGCAAAATCGTGTAAATGTTGGGTAAAGGGATAGTGACATGTATTCGGGAAAAAAGAATACAGCTTCACAGTTAATGTTTAGAACTATCGTGCAACACAAGTGCAGAGAGAGAGAGAGAGAACCTTTAGGTTAAGCAAAGGCGATGGCTCAAGTGTGCTGATAGGCTGATCCAAAGCACTGTAAGCAGCTTCAGAAATAGCACATGCTGCCAAGGAACCGACAGGATGACCCGCCATAATATTAGGTGAAAAAGGATGGTCTTCTTGGGCATGATCGGGGTCTTCGGTGTGGTAAGAGAACTGAACAACGTGATTCCCATATGCATTTCTCACCGTTCCATCATATCCAGTATATAGATCCCGCATGAAAAACATAAGGGTACGAGTCAAAGTTCCAGAAACATCAGCATGCCCACCAAAAGAACTTTCCCTAGTTGTTAACGAATGCACAAAACACTCCAAAGGATTTAAACCCGCAAGAAAAGAATTTTTTACAACAGCACACGGGATGTAAGAGCCAGAATACTCTGGAATATTACGAGGACGGAATTTATCGCCATTCCTTGCAACGCAAGAAAGATTATACGGGATTTCAAATGACAATAGAACCGAAGCATGCTGCAAACCGAGACACATGCTATGCTGCACTGCTTTTAGCAGGTTACCCTTGCTCCCGGCCTTTAACATAGCCAGCAATGAATTCTCCTTGCTCGCATAATTATAAAAGAGGGATTGGATGTTCCGAAATTCTCGCTTGGAAGCAAATATGGAAGCTTGGCTACGTGCAACTGATTTCTGCTGCTCAACTTCAAAATTAATACAATTTTCGTTCCCTTCAGAACACTCAACAAGAAAATCTCGATAATAATCCTCCATTAGCTGTGAAATATGGGAAAGCCTCTCCACTTCTTGTAAACCACAAGAGATATCGTCAAGCATATTCTTACGGGTGTCTGGATCGGAAAGATAAATATCGGATAACGAAACACTTAAACCCCTCATCGACAACCACTCGCAGAGAACGTCCTGTGCAGTATTAAGGAACTGAAGTGCTTCCTCTCCATAACGTTTAACGAGACTGTCAAAAAGATTTCCATCGGTTCTACCGAGCCAAGAAGACCCACTAGAAGATATAATTTCACCTTGGCTAATACGCACACCATTAGATGGAAAATCATAATCGAAATCTGAAGGCAAAAGCATACTAAATAACTCTTTGCCAGTCCACGAAAAAGAACCTACTGGCATTCGTTTGATGATATTTGGGAACTGCAGTTGAAGAGGACAAAGCATTTGTAGTTGCTGCATTTGAAAACGGTTTAAGAAAACCCCATCCTCCATTATTAAATGAGCAGCAGTCAAGCTATCATGGCTTAGTGCTAAAAGGTTCAGGCCGCTTTGTCCATCGGTCAATTGCTTCTTCAAACCAACAAGCTCCCTAAGCTCCACACTAGAATCAATCGATTGAGGAACAAAACCGTGAAGGCAATCACCGTCAAAGTCCCCACGAAGAGGGTCGCAAATCAGGGGATTTACAGAAACAACTGAATCGACGGGAAGTATTTTGACAAACAGAGCAATAAGAGAGTGTTGATGAATAGAAGGAGGTCTGTTTATTAACACGATATCTCCATCAACAAGAGGTCTGTAAACAACATCCCCTATTCGCAACTTTTCCGATGCTTTGATACGAACCGGCCCACCATTTCTCCGAACAGGGATACTTCCATTTTGAAGAATAACTAGATGGCAAACCTCAGATAATTTTCCCGAGTTCCAACAATTCAACCGTTCCCCTATCTGGAGGCTCTCAGCAACACAGCGCGGAATACCAATGTCCCACAGATTTATCTTCGGATCACCAACAACCACCATGCGAAAGGCATGGTCAGTTCTCTTTCCAATAATAAGTTCTTTCACAAACTTCAGACCAGATCCAGATGCCCTACTAGATTCATTAACCGATGGCCTCTTCTCAACACGTAGCTGCAATGTTTAAAAGCTCGTGTAAGATGTTTTTCCAGAAAAGAAAACTTAGCAAATCGAAAGTGTGATTATATATTTATATGTCTTGCCTTTGTTATTTTGGTGCAGTCAAGAACACGAACGCTTAAGTCATTGGCTGTACCTTTGAAGTCAATCAGCTTTTTATAAAGCCTACTGCTTTCATCCTAAAGTAATACATCACATACAAGAAGCATATGAACTTATGAAGATCGATAAATGTGCAGAAAGAATTTAATTTCAACTTACAACTTGCATATCGCCAGATTGAGATTCCATTACTCGGTGACAATTAGGAGTCAAAGGTAAACAATTCACGAACATTGAATTTTTCCTCTTGAAGGTTGCCTCGAGAATCCCTGAATCAATTTCTTTCAGTATGCTATAGACCTAAAAGAAAAAAATGGAGACAAAATTCTTTTCAGATATGCATACAACAAATTGCTATGAATATTTGCACTCGAATAAGATTAACTCGGAAAACTACCTGGGCATGCGTTAGAAGTCTCATATTTGGTTTCAGAGTTTCATCTGATGTGTCAAAACTTTCGGTATGTGCATCATGTGGAATTATGTTCCAATAATCAGAAGCTAAACCGAATTTCTTTGTCGACTTTTCATTCACTTCTGCAATAAGTGCAGTCTTCCTAAACTTGTCTCTTCGAGATACTTTAAATTTCATCGGTGGATAGCTTTTAAACTTTATCTGTATGTTCAAGAGAAAACAAGTTCAAACACTAGAGAGCAAACCAGTGAAGATACGAGCTGAGCAAACTTACATCGCAATATTTGCAGTTCCCCAACTGGTTTTGCTCAGAGGTGGAAGCAGCATTCTGTAAAGCAAAGCAATCAGCCGAAGAACATAATAAGACTCGAAATATAATAAAACGGTAATTCCTGACCTTGACTCTATTACGGCGAACAGATTTACATGCCGGGCAAATTTTATTGAGAACCTGAGCAATCTCAGACATGAGATACGGGTTTAAAACTGTGTATTGTAAGTTGATTAAACCAAAGTGACCTGCAAAAGATAAAACCAAGTTTTAGCACTGAAAGGCGTGCATCATATCACATATCGATCCCAATTTTGTCCTTTGCACCTTCACAAATATTCATCCCAAGTTTTTCATTGCCTGGTGTACCAACTACCCGCTTTCCATCCTGTGCTCCACACGTGTTGCACTTAGAAGTTGAATTTGGCAATCCTAAAGCAGGATCTGCTACTTCATTCACAGCTCCTACTTGCTTGACCGAAATTTTGGCCTACATAAAATAAGCAAGCATCATTTGAAGATAGATCAAATATACTAACAAAGCATGCACATTTTATGAAACAAGACCTAGAGATTACAATATATGCATATCGCAACTTCATAGAGTATAGACAATGAGAAAAGGTAGTATAGGACAATCAGATAAGCGGAAAAAGGTACTTACAGCATCTTCTTCGGACAGGAAATCGAAACTAATGGCCTTTAAAACTCCGGGTTGTGGTTGTGCCATATCATCCTCCACCGAAAACCAATTAACTGATAAATGATACCAATTAGACAAAACCTTGTATACTATAGTTGGACATTTGAAAAGTGAAAAACTTGGATTATGTGCAATTAATCTAATAGTACAGAACCCAATAGATTATATGGGTTGAACCCCCCCACTGGAGCCCACATTCATATTTCACCAATCCCATCACACCCCTAGTGTTCTTTTCACCAAAAAGCAACATCCCAACACAAATACAGAACAGAAATCAACAGATTGAATATATACACAACAGAGACCAACCGGAGCCCACATTCATATAAACATAAACCTCGAATTATTTTAAACACAAAACAAATCCCATTCTCAATCCTATCACAGAACCAAACACCACCGCCTCTTATGTTCTTCTTTTCACCGAAAAGCAACACACACACAACAGAAATCAACAGATTATATGGGTTGAACATATCCACAACAGAGACCCCACCGGAGCCCACATTCAAATTTCTCCAATCGAAAAAAACAAAACCAAAAAACCCGAATTTTTCCAAGCCTTCTCAACCCCGCCACCTCTTCTTTTGATCTTTTCACCGAAACCCAACAACAACAACAACAAAAAACTACCTTTACTCTATATGCATATCATTCTAAACGAAAAACACAGATTAAACCCATATATGATATGAACCAAAGGGATGCATGATCAGACAGGCAGAGCAGTCGGAATGAAACAAGAACAGCAGCAAGTTTGCATACAAGCAATCCAACACGGGAATGAGTAAAAAAGAAATTCAACCCACAACTCCACTTACGCTCCATTGTTGTTGTGTCGTTTGGCCGGGCTTCGCGGTGTAGTGGAGGAAAATGGGCGGCGAGTTTTATGTTCCTAGATTGATGTTAGTGTATCTTCTCCTGTACATATGCATTGGGTTAATGCAGTATTTATACTAAGGGAAAAAAACCACTAACCAGGCGCTAGTAGGAGAAAACAGCGGTCCACTTCTGTCAACGCTACAACAAAAACCAACACCAAACTCCAAAACCAACGCTACCACTTCAGGGCCAGGGGTATTGACTACTCCTAGTATATATAACTCGGAAGCTTCGGAGACTTTACCCCGTAATCTTACATTATAAAATAAAATTGTCATAATATTACAATGTGAATTTAATTTAATCCTAATGTCACTCATAAAGTTTTTTTTTTTTTTTAAATGTTTTCAAAAAAAAAAAAATTAACTTAGTTTACACCGATGATAATAGTTCAAATTATATATATATATATATATATATATATATATATATATATATATATGTCCATAATCAGGTGCGAACTGACTTTAACATGCGAACATTCGAATTTCTGAAGGACTGCAACGCACTTATTATATGGTTGCACCGCACGCGAACATGATTGTACCACAAGGTTCTCCAGGTATGTATAAGAGCCGTAGTGATCAATTATATAGTAGTTGTGGTGCAATCCTTCGTAAGTTCGCAGGTATATATATATATACTAGATCAAATGCGGATAGGGTGCATAAATGTACCACACATTCAAAAAAAAAAATGAAAATGCACAACACTTAATTGTGCATTTTTGAACACCTTGTGGTGCATTTATGCGTAACTAATGGTGAGTGACAACACAAGAAGTTGTGTCCGCACAAGAATCTGTTATACATTTATCATTCTTTTCAAAAGATTGAACTCCAACCCGACAAAGCATTTGGGAGAATGTAAATCAACAAGTAATCTCCTCACTTTGAGAGATTGCTCCCATATTAGCAATGGTGAGACTCGATCCCTGATCGTTCATTTTTTATACCTTTATCATGATTATGAGGGTAGATGACTATACTCCCAGCTTTGGGCAAAACGCAAGCACTCACTACATATTTTTTCTAATTTCCAGACTTTATTAATCAACAAAAATGAATGAATGAGATTAATTCACACTTTTTATATGGGTAATGTAGTCACATATTATCCTTCCAATATATCTTTAAAATATTATATGTTTGAATCGGAATTATATCATTAGTTTTTGTTTGTATTTTAGTACTATAATAATAGATTTGTATATCAAGTCTAAAATGTTGTGCGTACATTATATTTTAACCTGACAAAATTGCCCTCATTTCATTATGACTGTTAATCTCGATTAAAACGAATTAAGAAACATTTTATTAAGGAAATTAAAAATAAATAAAACAAATATTATAACAAAATTATTAATCATACCGTATTTATTACTCCCGTTAGTCATTATATTAATTTTATATCTAATTTATTGGCTCACTTATTTGAATTACTTTCATTTTTCCATTATAAACAAAAGTGATATTATATTAATTAATTTATGATATTTATCAAAATTATTGGCTCACATATTTAAATTAATTTCCTTTTTTTACATTATAAATGTAGGTGTGTGTGTGTGTATATACACACTAGGCATTTTTGTTTATAAAAAAAAAAAAGGAAAGTAATTTAAATATGTGAGCCAATAATTATGGAATGAAATTCATATAATGATTAATAAATAGGTATGGTTAATAATATTATTATAATATTTTCTTTAATTATTTTTAGTGTTCTTAATAAAATATTTCTTAATTACTTTTAATCGTGTTATAACGTAACGGAATGAAACAATTTTTTCATGTTAAAATAATTTACAACATTTTAAACTTGTGTGTGTGTGTGTACGTGTGTGCCCGGAATCAGAACCACTCTCCTTTAAGAATTGTGTATTAATATGTGTGGTCTATCTAGTATATCTAACGGTTGTAAAATGAAAAAAAAAAAAATGGGGTCAATTTTATAAATATTACAAACTTTAAAGTTTAAAATATTTGCGAAACTAACCCTGATTCCTTTTTTTACCTTACTTTCAACTGGTAAATTTGACCACATTTCTTCTAAGGACAGTAGTTCTCATATAAACCAAAATATAAAAAATATGTAAGTTTATATGTAGAAAGTATACCTTAATTTGATTCATTTATCAAGTAACTCATCATACTTCTCAATTATCAAAACTATTAATAAATAATGCTACATCCATTCATGTTGTTTCTAATTAACTGATGTAAAATTGTTTAACTGTCAAATTTTATATCAATAAACTTTATAGTTTAGAACGAGTTCAATACCATCAAATCCCCAACATCCATACTCAATCCACAAAAGAACATACATAGGCAAGTGAAACTAGACTTCAAAACATATATATACATCTATAAACGAGATAAACATATTGAGAAGAAGGAAAAAAATCGTTACCATAATTGTCTTGGTAAGGAAACCCCATCCAAGAGTGATATACAGATGCTTCTTCCACCAATCGTAAACGAAGCTATAGATTTTCAAGAAATATTCCAGATCTGCAAGAAGAAAGAAAGGATGATAACGATGATTGATGAGATATTAAATTTGAGATCTGTGAGAGGGTGAAGCAGAATAGCCAAAGAGAAAAAAAAAAAAGAAAAGAGGTCAAAAAGTGGATAAAAAAATCCAATTTAATTCTCAACTTAGTTATACTTAAAGGGAAAATTATGGATTTATGGGTGTATGGGATGGAATATGGGTGAAGGAAATGTGTAACTAATTGCCTTAATCAATCCAAAATCTCATGTGTGAGTGTGTGCTAAAGAGAGGCCCAAAACTCTCAAATTTGTTAAATGCCAACTTCCTAAAAAGTTTTTAAGGAAAAAAAAATCTATACAAACTAAATCACATGGATGGATAAAAGACAAAAGAAAATTCTAGAGATGCTAAGATTGGACACATATACATAAATTGTCAAAGTAAAATAATTAAACAAAAATTTGTTGAGCAATAATTGCAGAAATTACACATCCACAAATTATCAGTCCCCCACACTTAAAGTGTTGCATCATCCTCGATGCAAGAACAACAAATGAACTCACCAGGACTATGTGGTCCAATGGTACCCGGGTTAGACTTCCATTTGGAAGGTTGTGAGTTCAAGCCTCAGTGGAGGCATTATTAGCTCTTTGTGTTTCAGTAGGTTGAGAAAGTATATGAACAGATACTACAATGTAATAGAGCTAGTAGCATTCAAAAAAAGAACAACAAATGAACTCAAGGGAAGCAAAATAGAAAAAATATGATTAAGATACAAAATACGAGTCAAACAACTCAAAGATAATGACATTTCAAAGAAAGAGCTATAAAAGAAAAAGAAAAATAGTAAGAAAGACTCCCCTAATGGGACTCACGTACGAAGAGAACGAGTGAACCAAAATAGTAAGAATCTCAAGTACACTTTTATTTGTAATTAATTTATTCTTTCATATTAAATATTATGAATTTCTTACCGTGTTGATATGTACAAATGTTGATAGTTGTGAATTATTAATACATTTAATATAATCCAACAGGGTAGCTTAAGTGGCAAATGAGCTTTTTTTGTGGGGGAAAATTTTGAGATAATCCGGGTTCGATTCTCACAAGTGACGATTTCCTTTGGGCCAGCTTCTATGCCTCCCGGAACGAACCGGGGACCGTTAAACGTAGGGATGGCAATGTGCCCCGTCCCCGACGGGGATGGGAAAAATTTTTGGGAATCGGGGACGGGAACGGGAAATATGTGTGACGGGGACGGGAATACCCCTCCCTGCCCCGCCCCGTCCCAGAATAATATATAATATATAATATATATATATATATATATATATATATATATATATATATATATATATATATATATAATACTAACAGAATACTATATATATTTATATATGTAATGAATATATATATATATATATAGTTAATGTTGTTACTGTTTATATAAGTTGCAGTATTGCTACTGAATATACTTCATTGCATATATAAATATAAATAGTATATTGTTAGTATTTTATTTATTTATTTATTTATTTGTAGAGTTAGTATTTTAGTTTTGAAACTAAGACTTAGATTTTAAATTTTTTATTAACAAAAATTAAAAATTTAACATTTTCACTAGGAGTTGACGGGGAATGGGGAATCCCCGTCTCCGGCTAATTCCCCATGGGGATGGGGATGGGGAATATTTTTAATTCCTCGCGGGGGATGGGGACGGGGACGGGTAGTATACTTCCCGCCCCCGCCCCGTTGCCATCCCTAGTTAAACGGACAGAGAAAGACCCGGACCACAATGTGGTTTACACCAAAAAAAAAAAAAAAAAATACATTTAATATACTATATACGAAAAATAGTCAAATAAGTTTTCTAAATGAACCAAATAGGAAAATTGAGTTCCTAATTTTTTTAAAAAAAGTTTTATCAAAATTTTCTTAAATTGAAAAAAAGTATAATTGAGTCCTAATTTTATCTATTTAGTATATTTCCGTTGACCTGGTTCCATACATGTATTATTATTATGATGTGGCAATTACTTGGCACTAAATGTGGCAGTGACTTAGTATAGTTTAGAAAAGAGCAAATACTAATTTTGTTCCCACGAGTATTAGCAAAATGATAGTTTTGGTCCATATTTTAATTTTTACCAATTTTCATCTACGACTATTGTTTTAGTACCAATTTTCATCCACGACTATTGTTCTAGTGCCAAAATTCATCACTCCGGTTACCCCTTTGTTTAAGACATGCCAAAATATGAAATTATTAAGGGTATTTTCATCCTTTTCAAATTAAGATCCCAATTTGAGCATGAATAAAGAGATTATTTAAGCCATAAGATCTAACCCAATTCGCAATTCTCCTCCCAAGGAAGGATGAGGAGGAGAATTGCGAATTGAGATTGATCTTAGGGCTCAAATCCCTTTATTCATGCTCAAATTGAAATCTTATGTTGAAAAGGATGAAAATGCCTTTAAATTTTTTAGATT